ATTTTGTCACAAGTGACTATGGTTTTCTCTGTAATCCATTGCTTCAAACTAAGTGCTCTTCACCAAAAATAAAAGAGGTGTAACTTTCCAAACCAAAAAAGAGAGGAATGAAGATGGAGTTCAACACTAAGATGCACAGAAGCCTTGATCCAGCACAGTATTAAAAATAGCTTTAAGCATAAGAATAAATCTATGACAAGGAATCATATTTGGAATAGTTTTTCAGCACTCCTCTGACCAAACGTGTTTGTCAGGGCAAGCTAACTAGAACTATAGAACAATTATGTGAAGCAGCTCTCGAGAAGAAGAGACAACAATCTATGGCTGATCAGCCCAGATCTGGCTATGGAGCCACTGGATATGTCCTGTGAATCCTGAAGGCTCCAGCACTGTTGTGGTAGCGGAGGGCTTTTGTGACCGGGCTTTGCCATTGCTGCACTGCAGCCAGGTGGTGGGGAGCTTCAACCATGCAGTAGCTGGGTGGCAGGAAGAAACAGCAGAGGTGCTGGCAGTCCCAGGAGCTAGGTCCTAGCATTGTCCTGCCTCAGACCTAAGTCAGGTCATCCCAGACTGCTGCTGCAAAAAGGTTGCTGGTCACTGTTCCAGCCCCTGGGCCTCCGCCAGGGTGTGTGCAGTGGTAGAAGCCCCCCTGCACACCTGGACAAGCTGCCCAGGATCTGACCTTCCCCTGGCCTGGCCCAACTGGGGCTCCACTTACCCCTGCCCCTGCCCCACTCCCTCCCTCACCACAGGAGCCTTGATCTGCCCCCACCCCCATAGGCAGATTAATGAACAGGCAGGCCCCAGGATCCTCATCAGCAGGGAAGTGAAAGCCACAGTTTTAAACTTTGCGCCCATTTTTGGTGCCAAGCTTAAAACTGTGGCTGCTTCCACATTTGCTTCCCTGGGAGCTGGAAGCAGGACCCCTCTTCCACCAATGGGTCTGGGGGAGCTGGGGCAGGGCTGGGGTCAGGCTGGGAGAGCCATGCCGCACGACACCTGGGGAAGCGGGGTGGGCCGGGTGGCACCACGTCTGGGGCGAGGGGGCCAAGCCAGGCTGGGACAGCCATGACCCACCTAGTGGGGGGGTAGTTGGGGCCAGACCAGACCAGGAGCATCGCACTGCACTGCACCTTTACAGGTGGTGGCACTGGGAGGACCTTGAGGGCTATAGCCCTCCAAAATTTATCTTATCCCCCTGTAGCCACTCCTCTCAGTGCCGCCACCTGCCCACAGAGACACAGCATGGCACTTTCAGCCCAGCCCAGCTCTCTGCACCTGCATGGCTGCACGGGACAGCCGGACAGCAGCTCCCTGCAGGTCAGTGTAATGGGGGCCAGGCGGGGGGCAAGACTGAGCCGTGCATGGCTCACAGCGGGGGCAGGGGGGGGGAGGGCTGCCTCTGTGTGGTCGAGAGTGGGGGAGGGGGAAGGTCCTGTGAAGGGAAAGTGTATGTGTGTGTGTGTGTGTGTGTGTGTGGCTGTCTCTGTGTTTGTGTCCATGTACAGAGAGTGAGAGTAGAGTGCACACGCCTGTGTTTGTGTGTGCCTATATGTGTGCATGTGTGTGTGCACATTTAGCCGTAGCGGGGACAGGAGCAGGGAGAAGTGGAGGGCATGTGCCCCCCAGCCCAGTGGTGTCCACCCAGCCTCCCCCGCCAGCACTAGGAGGGGAAGGGGCCGCTCTTTCCCCCTGCAGCCCCGGGGGGAGGGGCCTCCAATTTTGTTCTTGCCTAGAGCCCCAGTACACCTTAATCCACCTCTGCTCCCTCCCTACTAACTTGCTGGCCAGGGGGGCGGGTGGGCAGGGCTGGGAGAAGCAGTAGATCCTGGGTTGCCCTTTCCTTCAAAAAGTGATCTTCACCTTAAAAAGGTTGGAGACCACTACGTTAGACCTTTGTACTGTAGCTTGCAGTAAAATACAGTCAACCTCAGTTAGGTTGTTTTCTTATCTTCCTTGTCTTTCAAATTAAATCAAAACTGACAGAATAAGGAAAAGATTAACACATTTGGATTTGTGAGCAGAAAGACTGATTCACTCTTATTTATGATGCCTGCCTGATTTTTGATTTGGAACAAAAGAAAAGCATCCAGTTCGATTTTTCAGGCACATGCCAAGCATGAAGGGATACCAGACTTAAACCTTCCTCTGTGACATCATTCTGAATGACTCTGCAATGTTCCCTGCAGCAAATATCCAGAAAGGTCATGGCAGTTTGCTTAAGCAACTAAAATCCATTTGCTGTCCTACATACACTGTATTTGGAAGAGGGCTTACTGTAATTTTCTTAGTGTTGGAAAAGTTCACAATCCAATAGTGGAATCTTCATAAACAAGCAACATGGGCTCACTATCATGATGAAAATGAGCCTGTAAAATGCAAAGTAAAATGTAAGACTGAGATTTCTTTGGATGACAGAACACAGTGTTGTTTTCTTCCTCTTTCTTCCATGGGGACTTGTAGTCTGCTTAAAAAAAAACCTGCCTGTGGTCAGAAAACCATTATGAGAAAAGGCATTGTCATACTCCACAGTTCTGGCTGGTGTGTGTGTGTGTGTGTGTGTGTGTGTGTGTGTGTGTGTGTGTGTGTGTGTGTGTGTGTGTGTGTGTGTGTACACATACTCATACTCCCTCTCTCCCTCTCTCTCTCACACACATACACATTTCTATTAGTGTTGGAAAAGCTAGTATAGCTATTTTGCAGAATAGTAGTTTCATTTCTTTTGCATCTTGTGGTTATGGTTAACTGTGGAATTTGTCATAATGTTGATTGTCCATGAGCAAGGAAAATCATTTCTTGATTCTCTGATAAATGTAATAGCTTCCATAAGATGTCCATATTATCTTTATGGGGGGGGAAAAAAAAGAAAAAGAAAATCTACCAGATGAACCCATAGGCCACGTCCAGATGTGTAGGGACATGCACCTGCAGCAGCGAAAATAGTATTGGCACAAGTTTGTGCTGCTACTTTTTTGCCACATCACATGCCCCTGTACATGTGTTTTGTGGAGTGACATATTGTCCTGCTTTGGGAGAACTGCCTGTGTCTGGCTCCTCCTGGCTCCTGGCATGCTGGAGGAGCTGGGGCACAACTGAAGGAGCAGAGACACTCCAGCTGGCAGCCAGAGCATCTCCTAAGAGGACTAAGCCTCCATGTCTTCAGGCACATGCTTCTGCCACATGCACCATGCCACATTTTTTTCCTGGTGCTTTTTTTTTTTTTGCTACTGGGATTTCCTGGTAGCAAATTTTGGCCCTGTACTGCAAATGTACAGGGCGGGGCAGGTTTTAACATTCCCCATGTCTGGTTGGTGGCATCACAAAGAGGTTTATGGTGCCACAAACTGCACACCCCTGCTCATCTGGACATGGCCATAGAATTTATACTCTGCCTCATTTGGGGTCATTGCTGTTGAAAGTCTCCAAAACTCTCCCTCCCTCTCCTGCCCCCCCCCCCCCCCCCCCGCCCCCCCCCCCCGCGCAAAAAAAAGAAACATAAAACACTGATCAAAATTCTATGGTTTCATCGTAATAAATATATTGTTGGTGCCTTATCTTCACAAAGGTCTATATTTGTAAACTTATCAGGATTGAACTTTCGCCAATAGTGCCTTATGCTTCACTGCCCCTACTACCTTTTTTTTCTATCAAACAAGCCAAAATATATACTTAAGTTCTTCAAACTTTTATCTCCCTCCACCATTCAACAAATTGGCATGGTCTGACTCAACATGAAAGGAAAAATGTATTAGTTCTAAAATCTTGAAGAACATATTTTTAATTGAATTCTTATTTCAGATCAGATCAATTAAAACTGTATACATTTCATAGGGAAAATTAATAATCAAAGTAAAAGAGAAATGCAGCATTCATCAGTTTCTAACATAAAAATGTAAAAAAAAAAAAAGGAAACTATAAATGTTTGTATTGAGCCATATAATTTTAGAAGCAAATATATGAGTACAGTGTAACTGCCTGGGTAGCAAAAGTAATAACTAACTTTCTAGTGAAGGCTATCTTCAACAAAACAACTTACTGGATACCAACTAAAAAAATTTAACTGTCTGTAATAAAAATTAATATGTACAAAGTCAAAGCTAGATTAATAAAAGGTGTTTTTAAACAATGCTTGCTAATTAAAATCAGTAATGTAAAAACTCTGACTTAAAATCAATCTACCTTACATGTTTGTATACACTTAGCATAATGGGGACTCAACTCAATAGCATCATACAAGTAAGAGCAGTTAATTATTATTCCGTCCCTTTATTTGAGATCAGAATGTAATTGTGAAAATCCAGATATAAAGATTCCTAATGGATGTCCATTCTATATAATTTAGTTCTGGGAGATGGTTTAACTTTCACCCATAGTTTCTAGGGAATTTCCTTATCCACTTAAGTACACAGATCATATTCAGATTAGACTGGCAACTTTTCTGACAACTTTAATGTGAGATGAAAAATGAGATTTTAAAAATTATTTTCTTGCCTTGAGTGCAAACAGATGTTGCACACTGAACTTATGAAAGTGCTGGTAAGCTTCAGACTATGATATGACTGAACTCATCCCCTCATGGTCAGTTAAATCTAAAAAGAAAGATACGGTGTTCTTTTTTTTTATTTCATACCACATTTAATAGCCAGCAGTTATTAAAAAAGCAATCATTATATCCTCAATAAGCTAACTTTTGGTGGCAAGGCACTAGCCGTTTCAAACTTTTATATTTTTTTGGAGACCATTATGTGAAAGGCTGTGTCAATGCAACTTTGGCCAAATGTGAAGTCCTCAGAGTTCTCGACCGTTTTTTTTTTCTCTCACTGGGCTCTCAATAGTTGCCTGCTTTTATTTTTAGTAAGGTGCATAGTCTGGGGGCTTTAACCCATTAATCTTCAGGGCATGATGTAATAATAATAGATATTATCTATTGATATATTAATGATATATTAATTGTGCATGCTCTGATACAGAAATTGATTGAAGTCGTTTCTAATTTTTGGTGAAGGTTTGCACAAGTGACAAGTCCTCTTCAGGATCTTAGACCAAGCCAACTACTCTGGGATCCTAGTAACCGGTGATGTAAAGAGTGTCTCACTTGAGGTATGTGAAAGGAACTTGATTTTCATCTAGTGCTGAGTACACAACACATGAAAAACATTGCCTTTAATGTGCCCCAAATTGCATTTGTAGAAGGCAGAAATCAAAAATCCCTAGTCACTTTTGAAAACATTGTCCTGAACCAATAAATAAAGCAGGTTGTCAATACATTTATTTCCCTAAGTTACTTAGGTGCTTCTGAAAATTCTACCCAACCATGAAAACAGATTACAATAGTAATTCATACTTTCACAGAACTTTCTACCCAAGGTTCTCAAACATCAATAGTAATTGATAGGAAAGTATAAATCCCATTTTTATATAAACCAGAAATAGAAGCACAGATAAATTAAGTAATTCGCCCATGTCCCACAGAAATTCTACTGCAGAACTGGAAGCAGAACTCAGTGCTGAAATGCTGGCCCCACTCAAGTTAATAGGAAAACTTCCATTAACTTCAGTGAACCGGGATTTCAGCTTCGATTTCCTGAATTCTGCGACATCTGTTTTAACACAAAGACCATCCATCCACACTGCAGAAGTGGGGAACAGAAATGTTATTGTTTTAATAAGATTTATTTCATTTGAAGTAGGAGATGTAATCTATATTTTCCTGATATCTTGCTTCTGAGACTTCTTGTCAAATCACTTCTCTTCTTCTAGATCAGGATGCTTTTCTTAAATAAAAAATTAAGTCATATAGAAAATGCTATGCCGTAAGGGATGTACAAAAGCAACAGTTCTTAGGGTTCATAAAACTGTTTAAAAGCATTTCATGTACTGTACTTAGAGTTATCTTCCTAAGAACGTATCACATAGCACTGTTACCCATTTCCTATCTTAATATTTCCCATATGCAAAATAAAAGTACTGTATATAGCAATACCCATTCTTTTAAATCTCTGTCGTCAGTAATGTTCAGCTACATTCTGGGTGCAACATTGCTACAAAAAATCTTTTGACAATCAGATATGAATTAGGTTAAACAGTGAAGGAAAAACATCTTCTCATGCTGCTTCCCTCTTTTCTTTAATGAGTGTCATCAAAAATGGCCCTGCCATCATCTGCTACAATGAAATTCCTCATATGTTCATAATGCAGTGTTGGAATCTCTAAAATTGTCCCCCATAGGTTCCAGCTGAGCCCCTGAAGGTTCATTTCAGTTTAATTTCACCAATCAGAAAGGGACGGTTATTTTTTCCTGCTCAGCATCTTTTTCATGTACATTCAACACACATACACACTCCCTCCCTTCCAATTGCACTGAAGTTCAGAGTAGCTCTGACCATTCCTGCACGCGAACACAGATCTACACAACATCACAATGCATAAGACCCTAGATGGGTCATTCGCTTCAAGTCAATTTATTCACATTTGCAATGGTAAGATTGATTTTTCTCCTGAATTTCTGAGTTTATTTAACTGATTTCAGTAACTGCCAAGGAGGTGGGGGCTGAGAACGTCTTCAAGGTTGCTGTCATTTGGAATTTTATGTCCTTCATTTTCTTTCACTCTGTATGCCTGTCACATCGGCTTAACTGTGAGTAGCATACTAGCCAGTACCTCTGGCATACTGTATATTAATAGAATATTGATATAGCCCAAATACTGTTGTGGGATTCATCATTTGGTAAATCCTCTGCCGTCTGCAGTTTTACAGAGCCGTTTAATTAGCAATTTTACAACCTCCTATTCTCTCATTAAATTAATTAATAATTAAGTTCAAATATAGGCATCTTTAATGTCATAATTATATTTCAGTTTTATGGTCACCAGAGTTTAGCTCATTAGGCTAGGCACTCATAAACCGGAGCTCTGTTTAGGAGCTGAGGCACTGCCGTACAGGTAGACTGCTTCCGTTTGGTATTTTAATCTCTCTCTCCCTTTTGCTCTCTCCCCCCTCCATTCTCTTTCTATATAAGCGCTGGCATTTTCCTGTGACAGTTGTGTTTTTTTCCTTCATTTAAAAGGTTTAAAACCACCACCACCACCAACAAAACACCAACAGCCCACAATACACAGGTCCTCAGAGGCTCCCTGTTACTCATCACTGGAACAGCATTTTGACACCGATCTACAGTACATCTGTTCCCTGTAAATATCAGGAACTACCACCTTCAATCACTGGCATTCAGCAGAAGCAAAACACATATAGCATAGTATCTATCACATTGTAGTCCTATTTGACCATATGATTTATAAAGACAGAGGACTTACTAATGGCATTTCTCACAGTATGATTGTTTTATATTTAGGAGATTTATTTCGGGTATTATCACTGATTAAACCAGCTTAGTTGAGAAGGCAAAGCAAAACTTCGCTTTGAAAATGTTCTAACTTAATTTTGTTTGCCTTCACATAACCGGGACAGCACTAATTATCTCTTTAGTGTAGCTCATGTTTCTAATGTAATTCATATGTAAATTATAATCTAATTCATATGGGAATGTTTGTGTTCCTTGAATATTCTCAGTAATGAGCACAAACAGTGAATTGAAACTGTTTAGAAATGAAAACTTTACGTTGCCTTTTTCAAACTGTCTTTGATTTGTTTTGGTTTGTTGTTTCTTTTACAGATCTTGTTTCGATTGAATGGTTAAAGCCAATATTTTCAAACTCCGGTGCCTAAATTTATATGCTTAATTCTATATTTATGCACCTTGATAAGGGGCCTTTTTTGTTTTGTTTTTTCCCCTGAGCGCACCCTGCTTCTCTGTCCATTAGGCCACTTTCATTTAGGCTCCTATATGTTATTATTATGCATACTGCTATAGCACTCACATGTTGCAGCCATGGACCAGGAGTCCATTGAGCTAGAGCTCTGGCACAGAAGATAATTATGGTCCCAGATGTATTTGCCTTACTTTAGTTTCAAGACACTGGCCTAAAAAATTTAATGAAATTTGAATTTTCAATCTCATACCTTTTGCACCTTTCAAACTTTTTTTTCTCTGAAACTGTGAAAATGTTCCCTACAACACCACTCCTCACAACCCTACCTGTAGCTCTGTACAAAAATTTGAACCAAGCTCTCTCTGGTGTCTCAGGCGCCAGAGACCTATAACCACTAAACTACAGCTGTTCATTTCCTCCTATCTTGCTCAATCTTCTTCCACCTTGCCACATCTTCACCTATCTTTTTCCAAATCATTTTTAATTTTATCTTCCCATTGTTACTTTGGTCTGCCTTGGGTCTGATATCCCCTGCTTCAACTCCCCAAAATTTGCCTGACATGCCTTCTCTCATTGGTTCTCCCATTTTATTCTCTGCACTCATATATTGCTCAAGGCATGAGGGGTGCTGACAGATGTGGGGGGAAAATGCTGAAGAAGCACATTAGTTTGACCCAGCTCTGCAGCATCTATAGATTGGGTGCTTCAGCAGGGCTTTTTGGCACTTTTATCTAATAGCTGATTCAATCAGCTATTAGATAAAAGTGCCAAAAAAGCCCCACTAAAGCCCCACTAAATCACCCAATCTATACAGACATTGGGTGAGCCAGGTCCAGTTATCGTAGTGCCTCTTCTGGTCATGCATGGGGCTCAGCACAGGGGCAGGCAGAGTTTATGGTAAAGCACCGGGACTTTTTCTTACATCTGTAAGCAGCCCAGGTCTTTTGTAAAGGTCCACAAGCTCCTGATTCTAGCCCACCTAACATAAAGTAATCTTTTCTGATAGGTAAGTAAAATCTCACCTTTAATCTCATTATCAGAATAAAAAATAGGCAAGTAGAGACTGGCCTTGATCTGGTAACTGTTCAACAGAGTTTGGAAAATGGAACCTTATAAAAGCATCAATTCAATCCAAAGCAAATTCCTTTAGCACTCACCAACAAAAGAAAAAAAGAAAAAGAAGCCAGAAACCTCCTTCTCTGGCCTTGGATTGCAATAGAGAAATTCAAAATATACATCACTGCACATGTAACCATCAGACAACATAAATGGTAGGAAGCAAAGGGGTGCAAAGAGGCAGGAAGACTGTAGAACTTCAATTAAAGTGTTATTTATACAAAGTAGCAGGTGAGTTATCAAAAGTTGATGTAATTTACTATGTCCTAGACTGAAAGCTGTAGCTGAAAGTGCCCCTGATAATCCATAAGCAAAGCTTCACTTTACATATTAAGGAATTAATAAAATAGTGTAGCGGTTCCCAAACTGTGGTATGCATACCTCCAGTGGTACACAGACAACCTGTGAGTGGTACGTGCACAGGCAGTAGAAGGCTGGGGAGGAGGGGGCATGCAGACACAAACACCCACTTGCAGCCTGCTGCAGGTTGCCAGGAATGCAGCCCAGCTGTGTGTGGAGCAGCGCCCAGCAGGTAAGTGTGTGAGAGGGAAGGGGTGTGGGGGAGAGAAGGGGCAGAAAGGCAGATCAAGGCCCCCACAGTGAGGGAGCGAGTAGCGCAGAGGGAGGGACAGGGGCTGGGGTGAATGGGGCCCCAGAGCAGGTTGTGGGGTGGTCAGAGCCCTGGGTGGCTTGTCCAGGGGTGCGGGTGGGCTCCTGCCACTGTACATACCCCAGGGGAGTCACGGAGGACATGTGCCCCCCAGATTTGTGCACAGGGTGGAGGTGGAGTGCCTGCTTCTGCTGCTGTTGCCTCAGGAGCTACGTGCAACGACATGTGCCTTCCACCACCAGGCAGGCATGGGACATAGCTCAGCCAGCGTGCAGGAGGCACCTGGCATTGTGCGTCGCTCCTGAGGCAATATCAATGGGGTGCAGAGGCCAGTGCACAGCCTGCCTCCACCCCATGTACAAATCTGGGGGGCATGTGCCCCCCATGCATCCCCTGGCCTGTGCACAGTGGCGGAAGCCCCCCTCCCTCCTCCCCCCCCCGCGGTGTCCCTGGAGGAGAAGCCCAGGACTCCAGCTTTCCCACAACTTGCCTCAGGGCCCCATTCATCCCTGCCCCTGCCCCTGCCTCCATTTTAATATATAGTCTGTTACCTATGTATATGAAAAATTTGCCGGTGGTACTAAGGCTGTATTATTTTAAATTAGTAATATGCAATCTGTCAGAGTTTGGGAACCATTGAAATAATGCATTTCTTTCATATCCTGAGGGAAATATCTTTGTGTTTGCACCACCAATACCACCTCTCCACCCTCTCTGAGCTAAAACAGCTGTGTTCCTGGAAGAGGAGTCAGGTCCAAAATAGCTATTTTGGGGAGCATGAGCTGCCAAGGGCTTCACAGGAGTTCATATGGAGTGCATCCTCTCACATTGAACCCCATACCTCTTGTTAGCTTGACTAATATAAATTGAGAGGATACTAGAGACCTCCAGTATGACAGTAGTGCCATATACAAGAGGACTGTTGAAAGGAAAAAAAGCTAATGAGGGAGGGCATTAAAAGACCTTGTGGAAGAAAATTCTTAACATGTCTGTTTTGCTCGTTGCTGACCTTGAAATACGCTGTGGGCAGGATATAGAGAGAGCTTTTAAGATTACCATATTTTTCACATATTGCGTAATTTCAAATAAGACATGCACCTTGTTTTGGGAAGGCAAAATAAAATAAAAATTATTGTTTCAGAGTCATGGCTCCTCAGCCAAAATCTTCTGCCAATTTGGCAGTGGTTGTGGGAGAAGTAAACCCTGAGCAGCCACGGGAGCAAGTAAAACTGAAGAGTAAACTCCACCCCTGCTGCATGTGGCCAGAGGGGAGTATAGCCTCCAGCAGCTGTTTCAGCATCTCTATGCTTCTATTCTGGCACAGAAATCAGCTCCCTCACAGACATGAACCCCAATTTTGGTTGGCTAATTTTTGTAGGGAA